TGATGATATCAATTTAATGAGCCCAAACACGTTACTACTACTGTAAGTAGTTGAGGAATTAGTTTGTAGGCTGTCCTGTTTGCAGCATTAATGAAAGACTACCACATTATTGTAACATCAATGGATTTATTTATTATACCAAATTCCAAGTCGTTTGGAGTAGTGGAAGTAAAATAAATATTCATTTTATGACTGATATCCTTTAACATCATCACACAGCACACTTTAACATCATCATCAACCCATACATCCCACTACTAGCCTACTGGTCTCCGCTCAGGCGAGGGTTTAGGCTATAATTTGCCACGCTGGCTCAATGCGGGCAGGTAATTTCACACGTTTTTTGAGGGTTGTGACACATTCTTGGACATGCCGGTTTCATCACAATGCTTTCCTTCACTGAAGAGCTCCAAGTAAATTTCAAATAAATCACACTGTAACATTGACTGGGAAACATGCTGAAGATCTCGAAAATCCATCCCAATTAAATTGGCTATCCATTTGGAAGCAATGATGCCACAGATAGACACGCAAACAAAGATGGCTTTTATATTAACTCCCTTTTTTTAAAAAAAAAAATCTCTGTGTACATATTCGAATATTAAAACTAGGTTAAAAGTATCATTGAATGAAACATCATGTATAATAACCGAGATTATCAATGAATAAAAACTGGTTAAACCACTATTTTTATTATTATCAGGAAATAATTTCCTTATTGTTATCCTGACACTAACAATTACCATGCATTACAAAGATGGGGCATAATTGGACAAACTATTATATTATTTTTTTAAACAAGATAGATAGACAACATAAGTATACAAAAAACCCTTTAATAGTGTAACTTATTAAAAAAAAAGAAAACAACTTCGAAGTTGAAGGTATGCAAACATTACATGATGCAAGGACTTTGAAAAGTGAAATTGCCGTTTTGCATGTGAAAGAAATGTTGCAGAATAATTTAAAAAATATATATGCTAGAATGCAATGTAATTGTGTTTTGTAAGAAATTTTAATGTGTAACAAAAGGTTTAAATTGTTTAAGGTTATTATATTAACTTGTGAATTTTACTTAATTTATGTTTTAAATACTTAAATGTACAGTGCACAGCTGGGCATATCTTAAAATTTGAAATCTCAAAAGTCAAACCACTACACTCTCTGTACAAGTTTTATGATATGTTGCATTTCTCGCAATGTCAATTTGTGTTCTTTGGAGAAATAAACGGGTTTGATTCCTGGCAAGACCACTATGGGAAATGAACTTTTCAAAAATGAATCTAATCTCCATTTTTCTGAGGAGTAAATTTTGTTGTTCTGGTACTCATACTACAGAGAATTCCCTAGTTTCAGACCAGGTAACTGGCATCGTTAACTGGCACATTATTAAAAAAAAACCTTAACAAAAACGAAGCTATAAAGTGGCATATCCTTTTAAACATCAACACATTAATTTCTGTGTTTCAAACCAAGTCTATTACTAGCAAAAACAGTCGTTATTGGTCAATGAACTCAAGCCAATTTTCATTTACAAATGAAAGTGTCTAATATTCATAAATAGGTTTACTATATTAGTTTTAAACATCCTCTCAATGTTCATTGTTAGGTTCCATTCTGTGTTAACGAAGACTCTTAAATAGATAGGCACTGATGTAAACAAACATTCAGGGCAATAACATGCTATTAACCTACTAGTTTTCAGAGTAAATGGTTTGGTTGAGATGCAAGAAAGAGGTCATATACAACTCTCAATCATGCAAAAATAGGTAGCTAGTATTGTTTTTCTCATTTGCATATGTGATATAATGCAAATATTGTCACAGTGACAATTTCCTGAATACCTACTGTGTTTAAGTATCTAATTACATGAAAATAACAAATATTTGCCCTTGAATAAAAAAATGTAAATAAAGGCAGTAGATTGTAAAGGCTGTAACACTCAATTATTGTAGTGTTGATAGGACACCAGAACACAATATTATGATTGTTGAGCATGATTTCAATATAAAGTTAGTAACTGTTAATCAAATAAATTGAAATATCAACTTACCTTGAAGGAGCTGTGCACTAACGTTTCATCAAGGTCTATGACCATACACTTTTTATGCATATCTTGGTGTCTCACTGGGGGTAGAAGCGGTCGTGGGGCATGATCGGACATAACCAGCAGGGGCGGCGAAGCTCGGCCATCGATGCTGTTGGTGCCGGTGCCCCCAGGCGGGCCCTTGCCTCTTCCGCCGCGCCAGCAGCACAGCAATGATCGCAGGAACCCGCCCGTCCCGCTCGACTTTTTACTCCCCACCGGTGTCGACCCCGACACCGGCGTGCCGTCACCCTCATGCTGCCCGCCAGGGGATGACCCTAAAACATCCATCACAAGTCAGCACTGGCACACGGAAGCTCAGACGGTGGGACTAGCCCAGTCAAACCCTCAAGGTTGCGCCTAAGAATGTTATCGCGTCCACACGTTCCAATTTGTTTACCTATCGCACCAAGTACACACTGAATAGATTTCCAGGAAATTACCAATAGTCTACCGATTCAATGTCGATCACGATCGGCAAATATTTAAAAATTACGAGAAGGTAACACTATACGCTCTAATTTGATGCCAGTAGGTAACAGGTGTAATACGGTTTAGATTTACCTCTGTCGGATCCATAATTGTTTAATTGCTCGTCGTCCCGTGACACCTGAGTTATAATGGACGAAGCGTCCATTTAAACATTTGTTTTGGGTCGTAATACAAATGGCAACGGAGTGTTTTATAAAATTTTAACACCATAAAACTATTTTTTTATCTCCCTTCTATCTTACAAAATGGCAGGCTCTTGGCAAATACCAACTTGTAATGCAGCCAACATCAGACAACATTTTTTAGTTATTTGTATTTCGTTTCAACTTAATTAGTTCGTTGAAGTTAAAAAGAGATAGCTATATTCGCTCTCATAATGTTAAGTTGTCGTTATTGTCATTTTCCAAAAATAGTAGAGAGTCCGTTCAAAATAATAGTGTCATTTTGCATTTAGATTGAAAGATATACAACCAACGCTATAAATAAAAAAAATTACTAAATAAAGGATCACTGTCTTAGAATATGCTCTATTTTCTAAGAAAATCTATGAGAAATAAAGTTCTTTATTGAAGATTTTTTTTATTTATATGAAATTCAGTTATGAGTACATTCGGACTGAGTTTTTAAACGCTCACTGAAACTTCATCGCGGCAGCACAGAGTACTTAATGTTGTACATACAATTTATTATTGCAAGTCCTTAAATTGACATTAAGAATTTATATTTAGGTTGTGACGTCATTGGTATGCCCATTTAATAAATCCAATTTAGGGCGTCACCACACTTATTAACGTAAACTCTTATTAAGCTAGTCAGAAAAAAAGTAAACTTTATGTCCATGATGATGAGGCAGGAGCCTAAACTAGGGTACCCCTGTGTCTTAGATCTCCTGGTCCCTCATCTTGATTAAGCATTGATTCCTACAAACACGGCTCGACAAAGGTCTGCTTCCTCCGAATTTCCGAATGTGCTAATGTGTCAACGGTGAATAATTCGCATAAAAAAACATTGAAAACATCGGAGCATTCCCATGACGTCACAAACGAATTTATTGTAAAGGCAAACTTCTCAATCGTTGGCATTCTTCTAACTTTAATTCCTAACTTCAGAACAATTCTTGTCTATGCACAGAAAACAATTTTTATCTCTTATTAAAAATGAGATGAAAAAGTAAATTGTGTCAAGACAAGGCATTTTTTTGAGAAAATAATACATTTTTGAGCTTAGAGACACTATAAAACTGTTAATTTGATAGTGGAATCATTGTGTGGTCATAAGACAACATAATATCAACATGTCACAGGACCCCGGGCCCATACCAAGTAGATGGTTGAAATGCCCTCGAAAAGCTACTGGCCTGGTAGCAGCTAAGTTTTTAGCTTTTAAAACGCCATTGGGGCACCAGTTCAACGAGAAAGTACCCGAACAATTTCGGTTCACACCTACGATGTTGTTTGTATACATGAAAAGCTCAAAAGTGAGTGTTACCTACGAAGCCAATGCTTCGTCAGCTGTTTTGTAGTTGTTCTATTTTGTATTGCATTTTTAGATGAAACTTGGTTTGTGGATTGATCTCACGAATACTAGTCGATTCTATGACAAGAAAGAGGTTGAGGACATGGATTGTAAGTACGTAAAACTGCAATGCCGTGGCCATGGGGAGACACCATCCCCAGAACAAACTAAGTAAGTATGATTGTAACTATTTCAAGAAAACATTTGTGTGATATCTAAAGCTTTAGGAAATTAAACTATTTTTCTGGGTGTAAATCCGGAAAAATAGTTTCATTTCCTATGTGTAACAATTGTGAAAACCTAAGAACTCGATATCTGTAGGTTTGTCAAATAACATCATAAACAACAACTTTTGTTCTGTAACTTTTAATAATTCATCAGATTGTGCTTTTGTACAAAATTTAAAATATTGAAATTTGCTCAACTGTAGTTGTCATCAAATAAGAGGCTAAATTTGACAGCTAAAAAAGCCAACAGTATGTAGCTTTCAATGCAATGAATGAAACAATGAACAAATAATTGTTAGCATAATTGAGTTTTAAAAAGTACATAAATTTTATTGAAACATTATATAATATGACAAAACATATTTGAAGTACTGTTTTCGCCTGAATTACAATACAAAATGCAATTTTGAGTTACTCCGAAACGTCCTGAAAATATTGTATTCCTAAAAATATAATAGTGTTGTAAGCAATTGATCGCCAAATTTCATCAAGTCACTTCGATTTCTCAGAAAACATATGGACATATTAAATATTAAAACAAAAATGTATAAAAATAGGTGTATTTTAAAATAATTATGTATATAACATCTCTGACCACACCTATTGTAAATAAATTAATAATTTATCAAATTTAAAAGAGCCCTGTACTCCTAGCCAGATTTGCAGATATTTCCTTTTTTTTTTGCAAATTTTGAATTCGCAACTCTGATATCAATCCAGCTGCACCCGGAGTCCGCGCCCGCGCACCACGCAGTCTTTCGCCACCTTGGAAGTTGACTATGAGGTGGTTATCTTTGGTGTATTTTTCATTTTGCTTTTCGGCTGTTCCTGTTTTTTTATTTATATTTTTATTGTTTGTTGTTGACATTGACAACTTTTAACTTATTGCAAGCCGAATAATTGAAAATTTATTAAGTCCTTGGTTTCTTGGTAATTTAATCTTTTTATGTAGTTGTTTTATCAACAAACTTATTTACACTAAATTGTCATAATAAACCATTTATGAATATTATAAAATCAAAATTAAAAGAATTGGATACAATTCATTGGAATGTGGGACAATTTTACGGAAGTGAGAGGAATTGCTATGGACTTGCAAGGTATTCTGTAAATGAATTGCTTTTGAAAGAATTGCACAATTTGGCCTTTTAGGCCCCCTGAACAACAAGGAACTGAAAAATAATCTAAACAATCACAAACTCTTAAAATTTTGAATCCATTTCTTGTGAAAATTGTATAATGTGATTACCGATATGATTAGTCCACATCCCTATTCTATCTTCGTATAATCATTGGACTCTTTTGTTGAAAACTATATGTCAATATGGGAATACTATGACCATATTTAAAAAGTAATTAATAAACATTTACAGCAATACTTTAGATGTAAGGTCAATAATGACAACTATTTTGTTATATTGGATCAAAAGTTTTGCCCAATTTTGTACATAAGAAATTTTGAAATGAAAATATTAATGACCATTTGCCTTATAGTCATCCTAGTTATTTGTAATAATGCTATTATCAAAGTACTTCGAATGATTGTTGATGTAAACAGACTTATTAAGGTCAAGTATGTATTTCTTGTACAATAATGAACATCAACAGCAGCGTAGCAGGAACACAAATGTGCCAAAAATACTTTTTCTATGGAAAAAAATAGTAATAATAGAGCTATTGCTCCATTTTCTCACTGTCTGTACACTGCCGTCCACTAACTAAAATGCGGGCTAAGTGACAAATGGTGAAATAACCGTTATATATAGCAAAAAATAGACCAAAAAGTTCTCTTTTAAAAACAGTTCAAATTAGTTAACACTTATCAGAACTTACCCTAATGATGCATAGCTGAAATATCATTAAACATTTTCAATATCTGAAAACGGGGTTATGGTTTTTATGATATCTCAAAAAATTATTTTGTCACTGTGTTTGTTAGCGGTCGGCAGTACAGTGCTTATGACTATAATCACTAATTAATAATAAGTTATCAGATGAAATGGCAAAGGCTGGTGCTAAGGAAACCTTTATTGCTACTGAACGAGAGTGCACACCCGTCCCGAGAATTATGGCTACAGAGCAAGGATTTGGTCATTCAAAAGCTCTGATAGCTTCTTACAATGCCAAACACTGTAGGGAAAGGAATGGCATCAGAATGTTCACTAGTCTTAACAGGGCATTGTGCCTTGAATAAGCACATGTCAAATATTAGGCAGAGAAATAATAGAGAGTACAGATTCTGCTATGGAGCAGATGAAACTACTGTGCATCTTCTCACCCAGTGCTGCCCCCAGATGGGCATACTAAGTTCCATACTGAGAAGGCATAGGCCACAACCAGAGGACATAAAAAACTTAATGTTTTCAGCCTGGCCTCTGAACTGTAATTAGTGACACAATAGATCAGTAAATAGTTGCAGTGATGAGGGGCTGCATAGGCCCTGAATGAAGCTACCCTAATAATTGGCAGAAAAAAAGAAAAAATGGGCAGCTGCTGCCCATGAATGAGTTACTGTCATTCATGGGCAGCCGCTGCTGTGGTGTCATTTAAATTTAATATTTTTGGAATACCTTTCAGACACTTACTTTTATTTTTTTTAAATTGACTATATTAATTTAGGTAAACTTTTTATTTTTATTACAGACTAAGCCTCCTCAAAATAGATAATGCTTTTATAATGTTGTTATACCATGAAACATTATTGAACAGCATTTTTATTCCAGGCTATTCATTCAACTTGTGTCAAGATTTGTTAGCCAAAATCCACTGGAAGTAATTGGTGTCCACTGTACTCATGGATTTAACAGAACTGGCTTTCTACTGGTCTCCTATATGGTGGAACAACTAGATTGCAGTGTTGAGGCTGCTATTAATGAATTCGCGAAGATGAGGTATGAATTTTAATTTTTTTGTGTATCCATTCAGGATCAGCAAAATGTCTGAGCACATGTTGTGTATTTATAGAAAATTACTAACAGATAAATCCAGGAGATAGAGAGCACGTGCTCCAATCCTCATGCCAAACTTAACGCCCACTGACGCGACAGACGACTCGCCTTTTACGACGGATTTTTAGGTGACGAAGGTTACTTTAAATTTATGGCATTATAGTTGAAATTTAAATTATAATGGTCATAGCTACAAAAACAGCAGCGGCATGCTTAGGAATATCGAACCGGCCGCCTTCGGAACCCTAGGCAGTGTTGGGGATGCTTCGGCCGTCTTCGGGACGCCGAGGTATCTGGGTGAGGGGAGGCACGCACGACAAAACTCATCTAAAGAGAGGCCAGGCGCGAGCACGATGTCACGACAGAATGCTTCGGCTTGCCTAAGGATACTTCCGCTTGCCTAAGGAAGAGACATACGATGTCCCTAACGATTTTTATAACATTGTTTTTTGATCAAAGTAGCAGTAGAGCCCCTCGTGAAAGAGTTTGTCCAGAGAAGTACTGCCTATTTCTGCCGCCAAGCAGTAATAAACTTTTTAAGCATGCCGCGTCTTACCTAGGGATACCAGGGCATGTTTAAGAACACCACGACATAATGGGCGTCAGTGTACGCTTGCATATGCCGAAGGTTGCCCTGCCGAGCTGTGCTGTCAGTGGTCTTAATGGTTATTGTTTGTTGGTTGTTAGTTAGATGTCCACTGATTGTTTCATTCTAGACCTCCTGGAATCTACAAACAAGATTACTTGGAAGAGCTATACAGACGTTATGATGATCCTGAGTTCACACCACCAGCTCCTCTCAGACCAGATTGGTGCAATGGTTCGTAAATTATATTTACACAATTTGAGAGAAAAAAATCCAGAATTTAAAGAATAAGTTACATAATTTTTATTTATTTACAGAAGAAGAGGAGGAGGATTACGATGATGATTCACCAAGTCAATCACAAAGCAACTCATCACAAAATTCACCAAAGTAAGTCTTCATATTATTTTCAAAACTATATTATAAAACTAATAATTTAATATAATGCCGAATAATTTAATTGCATTACATGTAGGATTTTGCCGTTTTGTAAAATGATAAATAATTTGTACCATTTAGAATATTCTATTCTATTTAGTTTTTATTAAGACTTGTAATTCTCTGGCGGCTATGTCGGCTGTGTAATGGGAAGCATGATAGGGTGCGAATTGCGCGAGAGCGACATCAAGCGCGAGATCACCATGCGAAAATAGCATTATATCAAGCTGTATGTCGCTCTCGCGCTAGTCGCGCCCTTTTGTGCTAGCCCTACAGAACCTCACATAACAACAAACAGCAAAGAAGTATGGCGACATCCCGTGCAATTTGTGACCCAGTGTTTTTGACGACGTGCGTTAAAGAGACCTATCAATAATTGTGATTCATTATTAAAGCATCAAAAAAGCTAATTGAGTACAGCCTCTAGAAACTGGGGTTACAAACTTGATATAGGTTATGTTTGAGATATAGGTTATTATAGGTTATTTATATATTATAGGTTAGTATAGGTTATAGATTACTCAAACTGATTTTGGATAACAAAAAAACTGAACCCCAAAAAAAAAAAAAAAAAACAAAATGAGATATAAAAATCCCGCTATAGGGGGTTGTAGAGCTCGTGTTACTGATTCCAATTTCGCTACAAATGTCAATTACGTTAGTTATGAGAAGGGATGTTTATAGAACTCTAAACTACATGGTTGTACAAATTTTAGTCAAAGCAGTAAACCTAAGAAAGGCAGACGGGAAACAACACACAAAAAAGCAACATTTATGCCAGGAGTAAGAGGTGTAGAACCATTCAACACTCAGCCACGACTGAGTGAAATTCAAAAGAAAGCACAACATTTCTGCAAGTGGAAAAGGACTGGCTTTCCAGGGTCACAGCCGGTGTCAATGGATGTTACAAATTTAAGGAAACTGCACGAGAAACCTTACATGGTTTCGTGGAAAGCTGATGGTGTAAGGTAAGAGCTACAATCACATGATTGCTACTGTTTGCAATTGAAAGTTCCACAGCCTGGTAAATAGTGATTTTTAGTGTAATGATGCCATACACTGTGCCAAAATTTGGTAACTAAACTTAAACGTAATTAATACGAGTAATTACAAAACCATACTAGCAACAGTTTTCACAATATTAGTTATTTTGTAATATTTGAAACAAACTTTTATCAAATGATACTATTTAAAAAAAATCTTATATTATTTACTCACACAATAGTTATCTTGGAGAATTAATGAGCAAGTATTGTTTTCAAATCACAATGCAAAGTGTATGTGATACGTAATCCTAAAAGTAAGGTTACATCTGACCGACTAACCAATCTTCAATCGTCCAGATGATAGGTAGCAATGAAACCGTATATTGTACAATTATTCCTAATTTTGCCGTTAGATGGCGTCGATACTAATTTTCATCAATTACAAAATAATAACTATATTTCAGATACATGATGTTAATAGACGGCGAGGGCGAAGTGTACATGTTGGACAGAGACAACTGCGTGTTTAAAGTGTTCGGCCTGCGGTTCCTGCATAGGATAGATCTAAGCAGACATTTGAAGGGCACATTGATAGATGGAGTAAGTTCCGTATAATACATAACTTGAAAGAGCTCATAAGCAGCTCGCCAGAACCTTTGTCCCGTACCAAATGCTTTATGAATATATTGGGCACAAAACAATAAATACACTAGAAGTGCTCAGAAGGTGTGACACGTGTGCCAACAGCACGCGCGGTATATACGAGAGCTCAGTCCGCCATTTTCGTGATTACCGATATGATTAGTTCGGTAACCTATCACAAACTCAAATTTCTTTTTTCCGAATTTCATTAGTCCGAAAACGGTTCGACTTTTTTCATTAGTGCGATGACTGTTTTGGTATAAATTTGCAACACAAATGTCTTACAGCAGATGTATCGTTTGTCCGAAAACCTATTGTTAGAATAATTATTACACATACATATTCTTTGGGAACTTCTACCCAAAGAATACGTACGTGTAATAATTAATGTCTGGTCTAATCATGTTTGTTATACTGTCTGTTTTCATTTATTACCATTACCTAGACGTTACGACCCCCTCCTGTAGGTTTAGGTTAGGTTAGTATATGAAAAAGCCGGCACGAGGGAAGCGAGCGTGCCGCGGCAGCGGCCGGCGAGTGCCAGAGCCGAATTTGTTTGCATTACCTAGACGGTACGACCCCCTCCTGTAGGTTTAGGTTAGGTTAGTATATGAAAAAGCAGCACGATCCGAACGAGCAAACCGAGTAACTACAACTCGATCAAATTAACTTGCATCTCGTTTACCACTTTTTCTAAAGATGCGAGGTGCTTCAATTTGACGAGTTGTATTGTGCGACACGCTCTTATACTTTTAGAACCTGTAATAAGAAATAATATAACAAAAATGTATCATGGATATCGTTTTTTTTAGAAAATAAAAATATTTAATTATATACATTGGTCAAACGGTTTGTTAGGGAAATAAAAATCGGGAAAAGAATAACTTGTCAATATGTCAAAATAGTGAAACATTAAATGGTGTAATGAAAAAAACCGTAACGTGTTTTCGGACAAATGAGCAAAATCTATTCAATAAAAGTCTAAAGATTTTCGGAGTAACAAAATTCTGTAAATCATGTTTCTAGCTTGGGATAGGTAACCGATTAGTCCACATCCCTGTTTGCGTCACGATTACAAGTATCAAATTTGGCCTCTATTTGGTGACGACTATACATGACCATTTAAAATTTTATGAAAATTGGTAACCCTAAAAATGTCATTTTACTCCGTCTTAAAAAAAAGACAGACTATACTATATCGATTTTACCATCTAAGCTAAATCTTTATCTATTTCCAGGAAATGGTAATAGACAAAGTGAATGGAGAAGAAATTCCAAGATACCTTTGTTACGACATCATTAAATTCGAAGGGCAGGACGTGGGCAGGATGGCGTTCTACCCTATCCGGTACAACTGTATAGAAAACGAAATTATTAGTCCCAGGTAAGTAATAGCATAGACTAATAACAATAACTCATCAGGACTGGTATTCTCCATACTGGGGGCCTACCATAACCTTTCCAAAACCAATCTTATTTCAATGCAAGCTTACAGTAAGCTTATTATAATATTACTCATATTCGTACCATGACATACCTGTCAACCAAATAATGTATTATTGTTAACGTGATTGAAAAAACGAATGATTTCCTAATATTGTTTATTCCTTACAAAAAATAGGAAATAAATTACGCTATATGAACTATATAATGCCATCTTTTTCTTTTTTGATGTTCCGAATTGTCTTATCATAGTATAGTGTTATTTATATTCAGAGAATTTCAACTGTTAAAAAAAGAGTGATGTAGTATTAAAATCGTTAAAAAAAATTAAATTAAATTACGTTGTTTTCAACTATTTTTCCGCATTTTCATGAAGTCTAATACATTAATCGAGATGAGTATTTATAGTCACGTTGTGAATTCGGAATTATAGTTTAGTGTGAACTGTTAGTTTCGCCAAAGAGCGTATACATGTCGCTGTCATAATTTTACGAAATAAACATCACGTTTTTTTATTTAACGAGTAATTAATTCGTATGTACTATTAAATAAAAAAATAAACAAAATATTGAACAAATTTATGTAAATAAATACGTTCCATTTAACTTTTAATCATTATAAATCAATATTTAGATAATAAATTCGAAAATAATATTGTTCCTCTGCGTCCGAGTAACTATTTTAAGATTGCTAAATTTGACATAAGAACAGTTTTACTTTCATGTTTTCTTTAAGCGCGTCATGGTACGAAAAGTCAATGTAAGGTTAAAGTAATATTGTTTTAAGAGGTTGTGGCAGACTCCCAGATCGTAACTCTGAAAAAGGTCGAGATTACGTCTAATGTCTAGATGATGCTGATTAATAGCCTGTATGCAGTTTATATTATGTAAATGGCCGTAGATATTAATTAAGTCCACTTTAATGTAAAATTTAAGTCAGTTTTTTCCTTGTATTATCATTCAAATATTGATCTACACTCTAGCCAAATTCGATGTAGAATGTTTAATAACAAAATGTTGCTAGGCGACCAATGATGGCATACGAAAAGAACATTTTTTTCTCTGCCCACGGCCTGCTCTCTTAATTGGAATATAAATAGGTAAGTAGGTAATTGGGTTATGTAGAAGTAATACTTACCCAGCCAATTATTATAAATTTTACAAAATACTTATTGATACGTATGATTTAGGAATAAAAATAAGTGTTTGCATCCTATTAATATTTACTGCTAATGGTAAGATGGTAGATGAAAAGAAACAAAATCGTAAGATTTTATTTGATATTAATTTGCCACATATTATATCATCCAGCATCTATGTCTGATTCTGAATTACCAATCTCTTCAAATCAAAGAGTCACTAGGGATGACACAGTTTTACAAATAATTAATTACTGGTAATTTTTGTGTAATTTTTAGGTGATTTGAAACTTCTGTTGAATAATATTCATTTTAAACAAGATTTCAAGATTTTGTATTATCCATAATCTAGGGGAAAATATTGAAATTGTGGTAACTGTGAAAGAGTCTGAGATGTAACCCTAAAAATCATATGTTTTTGTTTGTTAACATTTATTCTACATCGAATTTGGCTAGAGTATAGAGTTGAAATTAGTTTTCTGAACTTTGACAAATGTGCGTGTCAATAGATGGCATTATATGTTACATATTTATAAATTAACGCTACGTAACAGGTAGATGACGCTACTCGTAAAAAAAATAAAAATAAACCAGCACTCTGCATAAAAATCTGTGCAAAAAACGCCATCTAGTTCATTTATTTGATGTCATTAGAAATTTGAGTACCTTTGATAAATGGCAGCTTGTCAATGTAAAACATATTTCCCGCTCATTATCCTTTCGCAGTGATAGGCGGGAATATTGTTTTTATGACTGTTGTGTAATTTATAGAATAACCTTTTTTTAAAAAAACCGACCTCAAAATGGAATTACGTATATTTGCCAAGTTTTATTGAAATCGGTTACCGGAAAGTGCGCAAGATCGGATTCATCCCGTAGTTTGCCACTCTTAGGGTCGTATTCCAGAACTCTGCTCAATGCTCAAGCGGGACTTGAGTATGATTTCTAGTGCTTGAAATCATACTCAAGCGGGACTTGAGTATGATTTCTAGTGCTTGAAATCATACCCAATTCCTGACTTGAGTATTGAATAGAGTTCTGGAATACGACCCTAGAGTTGGAATATTTTCTTTAAATTTAAATGGGACCACTACCGAAATAATCATTAAAATCGGTTCACAAATGCCGAGTTAAAGGACTAACACACGTACAAAGAAATACAGAGATAACCTCCTCCTTTTTTGAAGTCGGTTTAAAGAAGTTGGCCAAAACAAAGACGGTACTTACGTTTGCTTTTGTGTGTCGCTATGTGCATTAATCATTAAATTATTAAAATTATTACAGGCACAGTGCGATAGAGAAAGGCATAATAAATAAGAAGCGCGAACCGTTCAGCATACGGTTAAAACAGTTCTGGGAGCTGCCCATGGCGCGTCAGTTGCTCGGCGAAAAATTCGCTAAGACGTTAGTGCACGAACCCGACGGATTGATCTTCCAGCCTTCTAAGGAGGTAAAGATTTTTTGACATTGTTCTCCGTTTTGTCGTAGTCGGACGAGAAATGCCTTGCATCTCTAAAATTTAAATATATCTATTGTTTGTTTTTTTTTGAAGACGGACTAAAATGTCAGTTCATTGCGCAAAAGTGTTGCCCGCTTGCGAGCGGCTAGTGATTGTAGTCGATAAATATTCCATCGACTATCGACTGAATATTGGTCACGCTTAATTTGCTTAATATGCGAATAAGATTCATTTGCATCATCCTCGACCCATTATTCATCCAATCACGGAGCACAAGTTCATCCAAATTGTCAATTTTTGTGAGTTCATATTATACACTGCATTTAGAAGTATGTTATAAAAAAATACAAAGAGAAGAGATGTTTTAAAATTTTCATTTTAATTCAATATAAATAATGAAACATGGCTATTCTTGTTAAAATGTATGTGAATAATGTTGATTTCGATACTAGTAGACCAACTGTCAAAATAAGAATAAAAAAGGCAATAACGCAATTAATAATCATTAGGACGTTGGAACATTCACAATTCAGTCATTCTTGGCAAAATTTTATTTTTATTCACAATCTATGGATAATACTATCGACAACAACTACATAACTATTTTACGAAAACTGACAACCCTACAAATTTTACTCCTTCAAAAAAGACAGACTATTCCCCCGCAGATTCCCCCGAGAAGAATGAGTAAGAAACTCTAGGGGTTGCGCCTTGCAAATAGAATCGATATTGTATGTACACATTTATCATTCGAAATAACCTGAAAGAGCTAAACGGGTCTGTGATGTGGACTTTAGTAAATACGCAAAAGCTGTATACTAAACCAGCCCTGTATTATTAGTACCCAGTACTATATTATTACTTATATTTTGACTAATTATTATCAAACAATCTTAGAATTCTTTTCGTGCCAGTTTTCAGTCCGAGCAAAGGAAGTTTTTTCAACAGCCATTTACGTAAAAAATTACGGCTATATTGAAAAACTTCGGAAACAAAATTTTTACCCCAAATTATGATTGAAGCCATGCCGACTTCAGTCGAATTAAAAGAAATCTTTATATTTCGCCAAAAAAGTTTGTACTGCAGCCATAGCGAAAAATGGCGAAAAATAAATTTTGACCGCTAATTATTATTAAACACTCATAGAGACACCGACATGTCCATTTTCAATCCAATTAGAGCAAATTTTTATCTGCCGCTAAAAGAGTTTACATGTCAGCCATATTGAAAAAAGGCGAAAAATAAATTTTGACCTCAAATTATTATCAAAAACCTATAGATAAGCATACCGATTTTCTATTGAATTAGAGCGAATTTTTATAAACACTTGTTTGGCGGCCATATTAAAAAATGGCGAAAAGGAACTTTTGACCCCAAATTATGATTAAGGACTCGTAAAGACCTTGATTTTTCGCCGGATCATTCCTTCGAGCACCTCCTACCTATCTCTAATAGTTTCCGTAATAGGAGGCTTTGAGATTTGTATGGCGGCCATCTTGTTTTTCGAACATTTCGAAAATTTGTTTATTTGAATTTGGAACATTTTTTACTTCCCGCGGAAATTGACCAGGGTTTACCTCATAAAAATGCACAAATATTCCCTCCATATATTATAGTTTTTGCAGGCCGTTGATCACTCGTTCATATTTTCCATATTCATCTTATATTTGATTCTTTACTTTGGAGCCTATTCGCGTACAACGGTATAAATATATTTTTTCCACCATATCGGGAAGTACGCGTTCTATTTCTATCAGTGAGTAAGAACTTGTAGCTTTATATGTATAATAATGTAGCTTTATATATATAATTGTATGAAGTTTTCGTATCAGTACAGTTTTAAACATCGTATAGAGCAAATTTTTAATATCAATCGGAATCTTGTTATAGAACCGTATACATTGATTGCTCCTTAAATAAAATCTAGCCATACAAATCCCATTTCTGCACCCGGGGCTAACTACTCTGGATTTATATTTTATTTAACTAGAGAAGTTAGTAACCAACGCTTTTTTTAGGATAAGTAATTTTTTTTTATTTAAATTAACATCCCGTTTGCCAGAACAATGTGTTATCTCTAAAGCATCGACATATATAGAGAACACGTTGTTCTGGCAAACGGGCGATACACATATGTAATTTTTTAAAATTATATCGTAACAATATTCAACGGTTTAAATAAAAAGCAATTAAAGTTCAATATTAATCTTAATAGAATATTATTTGGTAACTAATTTTAAGGCGGATATAAAATTGGAACTGATTTTGTAATTTCGTGTGCAAGGGCAAACTTTCAGAGAGCAAAACGAATTTTGTGGGAAATACGCTTCATTCCCACCGGAAATCACATCTGCATAATTGCCAAGCCCCATAATCCACTCTAGACTGATTTTCAGTACTTTGGATCTGTACAGCTATGTCATATATTAGAATTTGTCTGTGTTTTTAGCCGTATGTAGCGGGACAAAGCGACGACGTGTTGAAATGGAAGCCAAGTCATATGAACAGCGTGGATTTCAAATTAAAAATAATAACAGAAGGAGGATTAGGGTGAGTGCATAAAGTTAAGAAAAAAAATCGTATTAAAAATTCAAATTATAGCATGACTTTTAAAGTACCTTTTTTGTTTCATTGTACTAAATTATTTATCAGGTCGAACAGCTCCATATCTTTCTACATTAGTTTCGATTATAGTGACCCTCCCTACCGACCCTGAGGGTATACGAGAAGGGCACTATAACCTGTGCGCGCACAGGAGCCTTATAGGTTTAGTTTCTGACCTCAGATCAGCCAGTGTACAGGGTTGTCACAGATCTCCGTCATTTGACTTCATCCCGTTCTCGAGAGGCTAGTGCCTCGGGTGAGCCGTCCAGGGTGCACGTACAGTACCCTTCCTATTTTCCAGATAGGTACTAGAGCTGTAGGCATGCCCACTTTCCGTTGTGCGTTGCACAACTAGCGATTGCCACCGCTAATACGCCGACTCTAAGTTGACTATCAGGCCGGACATTCGGTATTCGACTAGAGGCCGAATACACTATTTGCTGCAACACTACTAGAAACTCGACCAGTAGCACCTACAGTTAACTAAAAACATTGCCGATCGTAGATTTTCATGTTGAAGTAATTATTAATTGAACACAGTACTGCTGGGGTGAGCTTCTTTGTTTGAACGAACAAAACTAACCAATCGGGTTACAGCGACTTATTACCTTATTGGTTCGTTGGCTACTTGCGAAAAAATCTTAATGATCAGAGACTTTTTAATTTTCAGGTTAACTCGTTCATGGGCAGCTTTTAAATAGTACAGCATACCAAAATGTCACTACTTTGTGTCACAATCCTTATACATATAGATTCAATATGATAATTACACTTTATCACTGACGGCTTTAACGGACGGAACCTTTAACATTCTTGTATGAAAGAACATATGACTATGACAGTAGTAGGATGGTGGCCGTTCTGTTATTTTGATTTGTTAGATGTCCAAAATGTAAACAACGAAATGTCATTGTCAAACTGTGAATGCAAATGTGCTAAACCTTCTATTTTTAACGGATTAGAAGAGTAGGTTCTCGTTTTTTACAATTTTAATTATCTATTATAAAATATTAACTATAACTTAAACAAGTCGTTATCAACTCGCATGAGTGCATAGTCGAGGTCTCGGATAACGACTTCATGCATTAACTGCATGCAGTCTAAACCGACTTCTATCGACTGCATGCAGTTCTTGCGTAAAGTTGATTACGACTTCACGCATGCAAACATGCAATCAATCCATTAGCAGCCGTAATGTTCATGAACGGGTTGATACAATAATATAAATTTACAACAACATCTGCTTCCGTGTCGCATGTCGATTGTGATAAACGCGGAAGTTTTAAAAGTAATGTTACTGTGTGTTTCAGAATTCTCCCAAAGAAAATCGGTCATCTATACGTCGGCCAACTAGACCGGCCTTTTGCGTCTATTAAAGTGACTAAGGACATCAAACATCTCAACAATAAGATCATAGAATGCACCATGGAGAATAACCAATGGGTCTTCATGAGGGAACGTGTGGACAAATCTTATCCCAATAGCTACACTACGGCTATGGGTAAGTTGACTAGTTAACATTTAATATTTATTTTATTGAATATAATAATGTTTTTACTACCACGATATTCATGTATTTGTTGTGAAAATATTTTACTATAGTATGAATCATAATTACATGTCCAAAATGTAAACACAAAAATGTCATTGTTCTTATTACATGACATATTATTTTATTTTATATTATTATTTGATAAATAACAATTCTAAAATCTCGGCCTACCTCTGCTCTTATTGTTATCCCTAATAAAGGGCTCATATGTGTAGCATTATTGTAATTTTAAGACATGTGTGTACCATATGAATGTAATAAATGTATTGAGTATTGTAAAACTGTGAATGCAGGCGTGCTTAACCTTTTATTTTTAACGGAATTGGAAAAGAAGGAGGTTCTCATTTCCTATAATTTTAATTATCTATTACAAAATATTTAAAATAAACAATCCCGGTTGTGTTACCAGTGTCATTACCAGCCATTGTGTATTAAGGGCGGTAACTAACGAGTCTATTAGAAGCCCGAATGTGAGGGCTGAAGAGCTTATAAGAAATACATTCAGATTTTTCGAGCATAAAACTTTTTGGTCATTCTTGATGTTGACAAATATAGGGCAATTAAATTAAAAAATAAACCCATTACTGCCAAAGGCAAAAACATTACGGTTATCGAGTATATAATCAGAAATAAATAGAGACGAAATAAGGGCCATATATTCCTGGTAACACATTAGCGATACAGCTCTTATAAATATCAACTCTCGTTTGCACTGAAATATAGACAGGCCAACTACTGACCTGTCTGTACGTCTCCGTATATTCCAAAAAATATTCTGTATTTATTGTAATAAAGATAATATCTCTAATAATGCCGTGCTGTTCTATTCGGTGGTGTGGGAAAAACAGCAAAACATCTAATTACAAAAGAAACGGAATCACATTTAATCGGTAATTAAATATTAAATATGTAATTTTCGTCCATTATAGCAAAGCTCAAGTTAACTGGTCGTTTGGAAGTGAAACAGTTGACGACACCCGTCAATTGTTTCGAACTCGGGCTAGCCAATCCGAGCGCGGAGTTGTCACAGTAACGATATGGCAGAATAGTTTTCAAACAAATTAAATGTCATTTCGTCTCTATTTCTGGTTATATACTCGATGATTACGGTCGACTTTGGCTGCGTGTTATGATACTATTTACGAGCAAGTGTGATGAAAAATTATTTACCACCTTATTAAACAATATAGTCTTTTATTATAATTATTGTGTTAAACGAAATTAAGTAAAAATATGTATTGGAAAATGCGAATTGTTCCAAACATTTATTATTGTCACAAAAAAGGAAACTTCTATTTAAAATGTTTTTTTGCTCGGCTGTCCCCTTTGTTTACATTTTGGACTTGTAATTATGATCATACTATAGTTATTATTATTGATGATTAAAAAAGCGAACAATTTGAAAAAATATTTTGATCCATCTGTAATTGAACCAAGTTTTCTAATTTCATTTGGTATTTTTTGTTCAATTCCCAGCCGTCTGTGAAAGTATACGAGATCCAGTAACGAAGGAGCGTCTCTTGGACTTCATAGACAACTATCGGTTCCACGATGACACGGACATGATGCCGCCGCCGAAACGCGTGCGCCTCTAGCGATCTGTCATATCTATTAGGATAATTTTAATTAAGGTAATGGATTTTGTATGCAAGTTGAATAGTGAGTTTTTGTAAGAACCTTTAGTTATTTACTAATGCCTTACACGACATACAGGCTATGTGTAAATTATGTCCACTTATACACAAAATATCAGACGGTAAATGGCAGTCACAAAGTTCCCTCGCGCTTTTTCACGAAATCTTCGGTAATTAAACTCTTTCCTTCTGAAATGCAGTTTTTCCTCGGCTTCCATACAAAATTCATCTCCAACATTTAATTTACGAAGTTATGACGTCATTAGGAAAACAAACACAATTTGCTTCATTATCTGGCGTAAGAAACCTAACATGAGTTTTATTACCACCAAAAAAAAAAACTAAATGGTCCACATACGAAAGAACCGTCTGTTCCAAGTACCTAAGTGGAGTGCGAGTTCAAGTTTTATTGGTTGTTTTATCATTGTCATCTAAAGTTATGCGGTACTTGTCCCGCAAGTAGTTCACGATCTTGTCGAAGATTGTAAATGCTTGCTTGAGAATTGCTTATTATCTATCATTAATATATGTTACCTTAAGAGTTCTAACTTTCCAAATTATGTCTAATATGAAATCCAACTCGTTATTTTCATTTCCAATTTTGAGCTGGAACCGTTGATCCAACCAAACTCAATTTAAATCGCATTAACACACGCACTATCACGATCGACACGTGTGATCAGACAAAATCGAGTCAATATGTAAGCAACAGATCGACAACGTATTTTATTGTCGATCGACATTTTAAAATTTTAATTAGGCGTAGGTGCCAACAAATTTGTTCGATTTTAACCTTTGTATTTATCGATCGCCTACTTGGTGATAGTAAAGATCTTCAAAAATCGATCTAATTTGTAGCCACCTTTATACATTCGCTTCTATTGAGGTATTTTCTTTGCTATCCTTTAGTAATCATAATAATTAAGTTATTGGGTATAAACTATTGTCTTATTGTATTGATAATGAAATTTCGTTCCGGCGTTGTTTTACAAAATTATTTCGCGTACACGTACGCACGACCATGTTTTAGATACTCAATAACAGCATGTGTCACTTGTAACCATTTACCGGTTTATTTGAACTCTTAACTTTATTGAGTTGCTTACGGCGTGAGGTCAGGCTGAGGCTCAATTTACATTGGCGCGGATTGAAAGCTAATTTTTGTAACAAAATTTTCATTATGCTATGTCAAATTTTGTTACACAATACACTATAAAGTGTATTTGTGTGTATGTTTTTTGTTTGTATCTATAATTCGTTTTTTGTTAATACAACAAAGAACAAAGAAGCAGTGATCAAACTATTCTTTCAGACAACAAATTACAGTTTAGTGCTTCTATTTTCCCCATAGATTTAGTATATGTACAAAATCTATGATTTTCTCAATGTCCCTCGGCAATCATCGGATTTCCGAATGCACACGAATATTAATTTCCATGCCCATTAATTATTAGATTTAAAACCTATAATGATACGAATTTTGAACAACGTACTTTATTGTTTTATTTAGATTTCCGTGTGAACTATATAGTGTTGTAAAACTATTTCCCTATTTTTAATAAGCAAGTTAACAAAAATATAAAATAAATAAAGTTTGCTTCTTTTATATAACTAAAAATTAATATTTTTCATTTGTTATTCAATTCCAAATCAGTCCATATATGAACACATTTCTTCATCTGACATAGCTATTTTAGTAGCACTAGAGCTCCTTGTGAAAGAGTTCGTCCAGGGTAGTACTGCCACCTTACTTATTTCTGCCGCCAAGCAATAATGTCAGCGTTTCTGTGTTCCGGTTTTGAAGGGTAAGGGTGCTGGTGAAATTACAGGCACATGGGACTTGTAAACTTATGTCTCAGGGTGTCGGGCGCAGTGGCAGTGCCCCTCAGATCTTTGCGATTCGAAAAGCTCGTGAGTGGCACTGCAACTGTTATGGACAGGCGTGTAGCTTACCATCAGGCGCATGACTTGTTCGTCCCATCACTTGATTTAAAAAAAAGGTGTAATTGAATTGCTTTGCTTACAAAATGACAGTGGAATAGCGACAGAGTCCCAAAATTTCCATCTGCCTAACGCTAAAAAAATGAAATATATTTGGTACACAATTGACATAAACCTCATTATTCTACGGCATTAACCTACCAATTCTACGGTTATAAAAAATCGCTTCCATTCAACAGAATGTGGCAATGTAAATTGAGCCTAAGGGCGCGTTCCCATTATGTCGTGGCGACAGATAATCGTGCAGTTTAAAGTATCGCTGCTTGTATATTTAAATGAAATTGTACAACACGATTAACTGTCGTTACGACGTCAGCCTGTCTTGATAATGGGAAGAACTAGAACGACAGTCGTCTGACGATAAATAAAACGTCACGATAATAATGTGACTACAAATAATCGCAACTTCAAACGATTCTGTCGTGCAAACGACAAGATGGCTTTTGTGAACCGATTAATTGTAAACGTTCTAATGGGAACAGCTAGACGCGACAGTCGGCCAACGACAAATAAAACGTTACGACAAAATGGGAACGCGCCCTAAGCCGTTTTATATCTAAAAGTATTAACCTGTTTGTTGAGATCAAGAAAGTCTTTGCCTGTGACATATGCTGTTTTGGGCTATAGGTTTATTAGGTGTGTTTGTTCTGAAGGCTTTTCTGATTTGTCGGTGCGGTTGCGACGCGACGCGACATCAGCAGCTTGATTTCTATTGCCTCTCCCGATCGGAAACTTTTGACATTTCAAATCGGAACAATAGTTGATTTAACTTACAAATTAGAAAGATATAGTAGGAATCAGGTTCATCTTCTCGCCCGGAAACACATCTGATTTCAAGACAGATGGGATTTGAATTATAATCAGCCTGCAGTATGCTCGATACAGAAACGATATTGTAACGCCTTCATCTACGTGTCGGTATATTCTCGCTATAGAAGGCCGCAGTACCGATTGTGACGTCGCGAGACCATGTCATCCTTGAGTGATGAAGACATTTTGGCATGTTATTTTTATCTCTGAATACTCTGCCAGTCTATAGTGCTGGATACTTTTCAATTTCCTGTACCAAATCAACATGGATGTCCGGAGGACGCGGTAACCCGAAACAATCCCTTCCCGCTACTGTCCAAACCGCGCTGATCAGGAACAGGCACATTGAAATACAGGCGCTCGGTAAGCTTTCGGTACTGCGCGTACGGATACTGTACCGACAAGTCAAGAAACAGTCTAAAATACACGCACAATTTCATCGTTCCTATTATACCGCAGAATTTTGGTAACTCTCGTACTATAAAACGTCATATTATTAATAAGTTTCACTTATTATAGTGTAAGGAGAGGTTGTACATTTTTGTTTTGTCTCATAACATTTAAGTATTTGATTTTTGTATTATTCTAACAGACACCAATTTTTCTCTATATATTCCTAAGCGTTAAAAATGTAGGAAAAGCAGACTGACCAATTAATTACATGGTTTTATTTATCACGTGAAATGCAGTTAAAAGAAATTAAATTGACAGCATAATCTCGGGGAAAGACAGTTACCCCGACTACTACGTTGTGAAGGTGAATGAACTACAATTTGATTTTAATTTATTTTTTTATCACAATTTTAATTATTGTTCATAGGATTTTCCAAAACAAAATGTATAATATAATAGTCCTTTACAATTGCAGACAATAGAAAAACACAAGACTAGATAGGTTATTTAAAATAAACGGAAATAATAATGAAAATAATCATCAAACAATAATGCTCACGATTTTAATGTATCGATATTCTTTACATTGTTTTATTTACAAATAAAATTAATAAATATACGTTTTTCCTGTATCTGGTTGTTTATTTTATACAAAACTGTTTCTTGGTGTGAGAAACATATCGACTGTGGCAACCGGTACTATCTCAATTTTGACAACTTTACAGTGGAAGAAAAAATCATTTATATAGCATCTGGTTTATTAAATAAAAATACGTAGTGTACATACATACATATGTAATAAAAATATTTAAAAACTACGTATTTTTATTTAATAAACCAGATGCTATATAAATGACGCAAACAATGTTTTTCTTCATCCTGTAATGTTGTCAAAATTGTGATACTACCGAATGCCAGTTCACAGTCGATATGTATTACGCGTATCTGTACTAAATAATACAAGACTACCAATAAGAGTATTTATTCAAGGTAATATAATAATGGCAATACCAATAGAATATCTGAGTTCCCAAGTTCTTGGTGAATATCAGTATCTCCCTGTAGATGAAAAACAATTCTTATTATTTAAAAGTAATGGAAAAGAGTCATGTATTCACACACCCAAAGCAATAAAGTCTATAACATGAATTTAAAAAAATGTTACCTATTCTGCCCTCGGAACGGAAGGTACTCCACTATAACGATATATACAAAAATCAACAATAAAAAAAACAAAGACAAACGATCTCTAACAAACAAACAAAAATTCGTCAGATCTGCTGACTCTGATCTCAGTTTGGCATACAGATGTCGATTCGAGTCGTCAGATCGACGGAATATCTGTGTTCGATTTTTCTATTAACGAATCCTAAAAACACGCGGTGTCCTGACCGATTTTGATATCGCATCCCTCATGGAAGATTGGCATAACTGGAGATTTCAAAAATGTTTATTGCTTCATTGCATACAGAAAAATATAACTCCTACATCCGTGACCGTCAGGATGGCTGGTCGCCTGTGGCGTCAGGCACTGAGCGTATATTCAAGAATTGCTACCTATTTGCTACCTTTTCTAAATAATTGCTGCTAAAAAAAATAATTAACGAGCCATTCTCATATCAGGATGGTTTGTCAATTATTTTTTAAATTTCTCAGAATCTATCAAAGGTAGCAATTCTTGAATATACACTCAGTGCCAGATGCCACAGGTGACCAGCCATCCTGACGGTCACCACACGTCCTCCCCAATTCTTACAACTTTATCGACTAATACTGTCGATAAGAGTTACTAGAATTGGATAACTCGCATCCTCTCCAATAATATTGTCGATAGAGTTACAAAAATTGGGAGAGAATGTGGGTTATATTTTTCTGTATCCGACGAAGCAATAAACATTTTTGACGTTACTTCACTTATGCTATTCTTCCATGAGGGGAGCGATATATTTTTTTATCTTTTACAAAAGTGGTGTAGAAAACACATCTATGCGTTAGAAACACAGTGTGAATCACTAAAATCGCTAAATAAATTTATTAGACAACATCACATAAGTTGCACTGATCCCAAAGGAAGTAACTACAGAACTTGCGATATGGAAATCGGCAACAACAACGCAACGGTGCCACGAATACCCAGACCCTGAGACTATATAGTTTTTTATATTGAGCCGACCGGAGATCGCATCTGGGACCTGAGAAATGGCGACACCATAAAAACTGATGTGCAAGCCACTCGACCACAGAGGTCGTCTCTAGGATGCGTGACGGGTTAATAATTGTAACAACTAAAATTTTAAAACATTAAGTTACATACATATTCAGTATCAGAAAAAAGGCCAACCTACTTATTTTTTTGTTGAAATCTATCTCAACAATTGTTGAATATGCAGTAAACTCTACATGATATCAGTAATCAGGTTTTCTACAGTAAATAATGATATTAGTCGTTTATTATGTTAAAACACTAATATCAAAGGATTTTACTTAGTCATGTATGGAATTGTGCCATTATTATGTAATTCAATTACAATAATTACTTCATAAATTACATAAAAAAGGCTCAACTGACTATAGTGGTGCCCCTTAGTTCAAATAGAGAGGCTATCAGCACAATAGTGGTGTAACCCACATTCAACTTGGTTCT